TCGAAGTAGGACTTCCTTAGAGTCTAGGTGATTGTAACTGTGACTTCTACAAGCGATTACCTCACACTATTACTCTACCTCCAACTCAATCACAATCTCAGTCTTTTCTGCATACTGACTGACTCTGGGTATTTAACGGCAGCAGACCAAGTAACACTCTGGTCGAGTCCACTTATATGAAAAAGGGGAGGACCCCATAACAGTGAACATTGAAGTGTTTATTATATATATATATTTCTTTGTTTCGTCTTTCTTTCTTCTTTTTATGAACAATATTAACGAAATTTATTACGGTCAATATTTTGAGATACGAAGTTAAAACAATTTGGATCCAGCTGAATCAAGAATGAAAACAATAATCTACGAAAGGTTTTGTTTCTTTGAATATCTCTTTTAATGCAACAAAACATTTCAAAGTGCGTCGTTTTCATTCTTGACTTCAACTGGATCCAAAGTTAATTCTTTTAACTTTGTGTCTCGAAATATTGGCCTAAATATATTTCGTTGATATTGTTCATAAAAAGAAGAAAGAAAGACGAAAGAGAAAATAAACATAGAAAGTAAGCAGATATGAGCCCTATCGAAGCTGGAGACATACTTTATAGGCAATGTATTTCCTGCTTTAATGTTATAAGTATTTTAAAAAAATCTTTAATGACTTTTATGCCTTGCTTTTCAAACATATTTTTATTTCAACTTATTTTGTCAAATGTCTATTTTTAATAATTTACTCCGTACAGTATGAGTTTTTTTTTTAGCGGAATGTATCTTTCGAGAAAGGACAAATTATTTTTTTTCAACGAAAATCAAAGAAAGTGCAGCTTTAACTCCTCAATTCGGTTGGCTGAGGTTAGGAATGCGACAGGGATCGTGCTGAGGAAATATGATATCAGTCAGTAGTAACGTTCAATAAATTAAACTAAAAATTCACAGAGAGGTACATTAACGCACTAACGCATAGACATATATACAAACAAATACTCTACCACCAGAGACTTGATAACCATACTATAAAACAATTTAAAAGACTTTGTCCTCGCTCTATTTTCTTACATGTCTGTAATTGTTTTTAAAAATAAATGTTTATTTTTATAGAATTATTACAATTAATATTAAAATACCAAAATGTGTTTTTTTTTATTTCATGCACAGATATTTTAAAAAATTCTATATTTTAGTTAAAATAAGGGAATCATTTTAGCATCTAAGTTATACGAATAGTATATTTTGTTATAGATTGTAATAAGCCCGACAAACATTGATGACCTACAGTGGATACTGATGTCAACACCCAGCGGCGACATTCCGCTTCATGCTAAAACGCAATCGTCAGCCCAAACGTGTTGTGTTTTTGTTCGACTATATACTGGTGAGGGATCCATGGGTAGACCTATTGTATTATTCTAACGGTTATTTGGGTGGGTGGTAAAAGTTATTATTTTAAGTATTGTAGTGGTACTTGCGTGCAGATCCGGTGGAGTTTTGTGGCTATTTAATTGTGTTGTTTGGTAATACTTCATTATTTATTATTGATGATTTTATTGTTCGTTCTTATTATTACATTTACTTGTGTTTATCAGTGCGTTCGTAGTTTGTTATTTTGTTTATTATTTACTTACTTGCTTATTGGTTTGGATTAATTTATTTTACTTATTTATTTATTTTGTTTTAATTTATTTTATTTTGTTTTATTTTTTATTTATCCTTGTTCGCTTTTAGTTTTCGATTTCTATGTAAGGTAGTAAAAATGTTTGCGAGTCTGCATTTTGAGATGTGTTCCGATCGTTTATTTGGTAGTTTGTGTTGGTATGGAAAAGTAAGTATATAGATTTTCTCTGACACACAGAGTTTACAGTTTTGGGATATATTGATGTAGGCTGATGTTGTTTTCCTTATTTGTATTGATATTTGTAATTTGTTTTTTGCATTTAATCTCCTAGATATGTTTAGAAAGCATTGTGCTGTTCGAGTATATACTATTTGTAAAGGATGCTGTGTGTGAGTAGTTTTGTTTTGTTTTGTTTCCAGAGTCCTTCAGTTAACCCTGTGCATATTTCTTCTTTGTTTGCTGATCCATTGTCTGTAAGGAATTGCTGTTTAAGGGACATTCGTTCTTTGTTCTGAAGTTACACGTGGGTTTCATTTGTGCGGATGGTTTGTTGGGTGTTATCCTGTTGTGTTTTTTATTATTTGTGTCATATTCTCGGTGCAGCTGTAGCCGATTTTTACTGTGCTTTAGTTGGATATCTTGTGGTGAGTCCTTGATGCAGGGAAGTGTTTTTATATGAGTTAAATTAATATTTTTCATACGTTTCTTTTTACGTTTTTGCTGTGCGGTAGTTTGAACTATATGATGTTTCTTTTCCTGATGTCATTGTTTCTACTGTGTGGTGTGTATGTGAATCTTTTGGGGCTGTTTCATAGTCTTTCTTGGCTTCGTTGAAGATGGTTTCACTGGAAGAATCAGATAGCATGCAGTTAATTTATTGTGGGATCTGCTTGCTTATAGATGGCGGCTGGTTAGAAGATGTGCGTAATACAGTGATTTATCATTAAGCTTTCTGTAGGGTTAGGGTTGATATATACCTATTCTTAGTTTGAATGTGACATCTAAAAATCTATTTCTTTTAGGTTAGTTTTTATGTCTATTTCGAATCCCATACTTTTGAAAACTTTAATGATTGTTCTTGCTAGTTCTGTCTGTCTTTTGTCAGTTACAGTTTCTTAAGTTTATGGGACCGAAATACCTGTAGAGACCTGAATCATTATTTAATTTGGTTCGTGTATACCAAGTATCAATTATTACTATTATTATTATACATAACTAAATAGTATTAAATCTGACGTCTAATTATGTTCGGGAAATATTTCATTTGTCCATGCATTTTCGCCTGATATCAAAATTTCTGAACTTTATGTTCTAAGGAATTTAGTAATTTAGTTATGAAAAATGAGTAAATGGAAAAAGCTTATTTCATTTTGTAGAGTAAGTACATTATTAAAACGCTACAGATTATTATTTCTAATCAGGTATTTATACTAAAACTTGCACTTATAAAATCATAGTTTTCTGTTTCCATATATCTAAGTCAGAAAGTTATCTACATAGAAAGTGTTATTTATTTCCACCAAGTGAAAAACGGATACAAAAATAGCCACAAGACTGAAACGCCGTTTTCAAAATTATGTACATATATGTGTCTATGTGCATGTGCATATATAGTTGTTGTTATATAGGTATTCACTTATATAGGCAGGTGGTAGAGTGGTTAAAGCATTAGCGTTCTCGACCATAAAACCCTGGGTCAAATTTCATCATGGGCGGTTTGTCAAGAATGTTACTTTTGGAGAAACGATAACAGCTTGTAGCACCGTTAGAAGGTGTTGGAAATTTGTTGACCTATGCCTTATGAGTGAAACTGGGTTTAGAATCCGTCAGTGGTTGTACTAGGTCGAAGATCGAGTGTTTGCGTGTACTGTCATTGTAAAGCTGTTCTGTTCCCTATCCAAGAAGCTGTATCTAAGTTTTGTTAGCATATTTGCAGCATAAACCAGTGGTAGGGTCGGTGTTGAGTAAATATAATTATACCTGTGCTGGAATCTTCAGGTAAGATTAGCTAGCCACACTAACAACTTATGACTTTTCACTTCGCAAAATATATAGACCGATATGCAAAGTATTCTTTAATTATTTTTGTAAGTTGTATGCATTAAACTGTAATGATGTCGAATCAACTTACCACGAAAAACGTTAGAAAGTCTGTGATAAGTAGATGTCTGCTTCGCAATAACATAAATTCATGCTATAATATTTTTGTCAAAGAGGAAATCTCATTATCTCGACCTCTCTTATACATAACGTTTCACCAGCAATAAGGTCACACTGGAAGTAACATAAACTCGCTACACCTCTCTCTATTCACTCCCCTGAGATAAAACTAATTATATTAAGAGAGAAAATTTTCCAAGCATTTATCCCATGTTGAAAACTAATGTCCAAAGAAACGTAAACGCTGTCTTTAGTGTATTTGTACTTTTAATGTGTAATTACTGTGAGGAGATCTGATATTTCGAATGGTTGTTTTTAAATTGTTGAAAATCCCTGTAATTAAAAAGTGTATTAAATATTGACGTGATGCTGAAAACAGCGGTGGGGTAGCTTAATTACTTTTTCTAGACTGTTGTTGTATTTGATAACTGCTGATTTTTTTGTAATCACATCAGGAATATGATCAAATTTCTTTTCAATAATCAACTCATGAAAAGTAAAATTAAATTATATTCAATGGTTGTATCATTCGCCTTAATGCAAGAACTAAAAGATGTATTGACGATTTCGAAGTTTATTATAGGTACCAAGGTAAAATGTCTTGAAAGTCTGTTTGCAGAAATTTCTAACTTAGTAATATTCTCATCCAAGAAGAGAATGAATTCTACGTATCGAGCCAGACCTTGGATAATGTTATGTAAAGCAAATATAAAAACGCCAACAAAAGAAAAATGGAAAAATAAAATTCGCCATAATTGTTCTATTTATAGAAATCTACTAAAACTTGCTTTAGCACGTCATTTTCCAGTTTAAATATCTATGTGTGCAAGACAATATTACTCAAAGAGCAGTGATAACTAATAACAACATTGTTTTTTCAGTGCATCAGACTTGTAAAATTCAAATTATCTTCAGAAAGGTTATCTCATGAATCCAGGCCAGGAAAATTAATGCATCGTTCAATCTTGCCCCCGATTTTGTTTGTGAAGGTCAAACAACTGTCACAGCTGTATTGACGTGAGTTTCATTTAATATCTATTGTGCAAGAAAATGCAAACGTTCGTAAAAAGTACTAAAGGTAGATCCGGGTAAATAAATATTTCAGAGGGAACTTTAAAATGTTTACTTCTAGTTTTGTAATTTTCTATTTAACTATTTTTCTAGGTATTTCCTGAGAAATATTTGGTTTTTGTTTTTCTGAGTATAAAATGAAAACATAAAAAGCTCTAAAATGGAACATAAACCACTTTCAATACCAGTTGCTTCTGTGTTTCATGCAGTCTCTTATAAGGTCTGCATTTTCTAATAAGCATTTTTTTTTTTTTTTTTATTTGTATATGTGTACTTAGCTCACGCTTTTAGCAAGACGTTACAAATGAAGAATAAGAAACGCAAACCAAAAAATATTTTCCTATTTCCGTTTCTGGTGGTATTTCATATGGCTCAAATACATTCCATTAACGGATGATCGGAGGGATTCATTTTTTAATAATCACTCTATTGGCATCCTCATCCAATATGAAGCTATTAATTAGAAAATAAAACAGTTTGAAAAATTTCTAGACAGGTTGATATGATTTACTTTATGTTGCATCCTTTAGATGCTCGTCTAAAGATGTACTTCTAGAGGATGACAAAAACAAGTATTTCAGTTATATCTGCCACATTTTCTTGTTTGATGGCCTGATACATTTCATTTCATTAATCTCATGACCTATTTATTTATGTGTACTTTTGGAGAAGTATTACACGATATTTGCTTACACGTATATCTCTGTGTATATGAGCTTGATTATGCCTATGTACGTCCTTATATGTTATCGATTCTGTTTCAAGACCTGTGTGAAATGATGACGCATAAAGTGTGGTGAAGCAAGGGGCAAGAAAGTTAATCCTTTGGTCGAAGATCGCATAAGCCGAGTAGCAATCAACCAAGAATAAGAACGAGGCTGCCGTGGTTAAAATCGAATATGTTTTATCTGGCACGGATCCCAGTGGACTTGTGAAGTTCATAAATACACAATAAACTCCAAATTGATCTATTTTGTAGTGTGGGTATAAGATAGCACATAATATACAAAACGCAGATATGAATGTTATGTAATGAATCGATCTGTCAAACTATCACCTCAGGTTAAGCATTAAAGGATTCAAATTTATGCGAGAATCCTAATTGTTTTTGTCTTCCGATAATAGAATATTTATTGATGAAACCATAAATAACGCAAGAGAACTTCAGATGGATATGATTGAAAGCAAACTTCAGTGACAAAGACATTGTTTAAATTGCAAAGTAATTGACATAAAAAGTTCGTTAATTTGAGCAAACGTCTGGATATATCTGGTTATTTGAAATTTTATATCTTGTAATTCTATATTTAACTGATATACACTGCTGTGCACTTTTGGGCCATCTTGGAAAATTAATTACTTTTGTTAATTTTACCCCCAATTCAAGAGTGATTAGCAATATGCTATTTTTCAGTACATTTAATGATCTTTAAGTATAACACATTACTGCACAAACACTAATGCTGTACAGTAGATAATAGCGGATATTAAGAACAGTGATGTTGAAAACAATATGCAAATATACTGGAACACCAGCAAACTTCTAACTTCAGCCCGTTTCTTTAGTTAAAAAAGATATTTTTGCAAACGTTTTCTTTATTATTGGAGAAAGTACAAAACATCAAAGTATGGAGTTCGTAATTAAACTTGATACTTTTAGCACGAGTTCGATGTGGTATAAGGCCCAAACTTTCTGTCAGGGAATATTTTCACATTCGTTTTGGCAGTAATCCCAAATATCTTGAGTGTTTTTTTTTTTTGCTGGATTACTTCAGTTCCTACCATAATGGTTTGATTATATTTAGATCCGAATTGTGTGCTGACCAGTATTCCAAAGGTTGCACATTTTCATCTAAAAGAAAACTTTTCGTTGCTCCTGATGTATTGCAAGGAACTTCTGTCATGCCGAAAGAATTCTTTATTTTCGTAGTATGACAGAAGAGTAGATTTTTTAGTATCCCATGGTAGATATTCTTTTGACCACTTCAGTGAATGCGGATAGAAACATTCCACCCACGATCCTCAAAACATTAAATCTACCACGCCACATACATTACTGTTAGCTGTTACGGCTAGTGTAAGTTAACGGTGCATAGATCGGGTTTCACTCTGAAAAAATTTAATAAGAATTTTAAAACCTTGTTAAATCTTTTTGAAAAAATGAAGGCATAACTGATTAGAAGTATCGTCATTAAGATCAGTTTACAACGTGCATCTCGCTTTTGTCTTTTTTCCTCATTCTGTTCATAAATATCAATTTAACTATTGTTTATCCCTATCTATCTATCTATCTATCTATCTATCTATCTATCTATCTATGTAGATATAAGGTACAAGCACCTACTTGCTGTTTCGCCTATCAATCATTCTAAACTATAACCGAAAGAAGTTACTGCGTGTCAGGTACAGAGATTTGTAAGCAGTAATACGCCAACACTCGTCCCCCATTAAATCAGTAACGTCTGTAAATCAAAAAACGTGAAGATTTTCTTTATCTATTGAGATCTGGAGTTCATCTCACCGGATGTCCATATCGACTTTTAAGATGTTAAAGTCTTCAGTAGCTTCCTTTCAGGAAGTTTTATGGCTCCAAACCAAGGTTTTGTGCTTTATGTCAATAGTTAATTGGAAGCATTTATGGTACTTGAAATTACATTTTTATCGCTACTAAATACATCCCATCATTACAAGTGGAGCTACATCCTCTACTATACTACTATAAAAGGAAAAGTGTGATCATTAGCCCCGTAGAATGAAATCAAGATAATATTCAGAAAACAGATCAGAGAATATGTTAGGACTCAACATATGTGCATGTTAAAATTTTCCAAGTCCCTCATTAAATTTAGTATAGGGATAATTCCCATTCGTGTGTCTGTGACTCTATACCCAAATATTTCATCACTTGAGTATTGAAATTAAGTTTAAGGCTCTAGAATGATACAGCTCGTTCATACAGATATTAATTAGTTAAATATATCTGATTTACTGTGTTAGGCAATGTGTAACATTTTGGTCGAAAAGATGGATAAATGAGACAAAAATGAATTTACTAGACATAATTAACAGATATATGTAATATCATCGAAGAAGAGGCCAGATGAAGACCAGATGAGGAAATTAGTGAGTCCGACAGAAACCAGGAAATAACCGACTAAACATTGTGAATATATGAGCACGCTGTCCAAAACAGTAAATCATATAATTATAATTTTTCATCTCGGAAATTCGCCAGTAAATGAAATGGAAACCAGTTTTGGAAAAAAAACAAACAAACTAATGAAACGATATGTCTAACTTGCTCTTGCTGTGAAAACATCCTACGTTTTTTACTTGATCAACAAATTGTTGCATTCAGAATGCAAAAGTCTTTTTTGTCACGTGCAAACAAATATCACCGTATTTATTACTGACAAAGATAAACATGATCATCTGCCTGTATTTAAATTTAACATATACTAGGTAAAGTAAGATTAATAGATAATACAAAGTAACCAAAAAGAGTCTTTATCGTGTTTTATTTATTTGAAAAGAAAGTATAGAGCTAATTTGACATACCGTTAGTCCTCAAAGTAATCTCCATCAACATCCAAAATGTTTTGCCATCGTGCCTCCAACTGCGCACTGCTCTGGTTGAAAAAAAAAACAGGTGTTTTGGACGCAAAGAAGTCTGCCTCGTTTGCGAAGGATTTCCCACGAACGTTGTTGTCCAGGGAACAGGAGTGGTGGTAATCAGTTGGCACAAAGTTCGGGGAATAAGGTGAATGTCACAGTGTCTCACAGCCAAATCGCCGTATGGTATCCATGGTCAACCGCGCCACATGCGATTAACAAATGCTGGTTCCTTCTACTTCAGTGCCTGCTGCACGCGATCCAACTGCTGCGAGTACAGATCTGCAGAGATGATTTGGCTGGTTGATAGAAGCTTATAGTGCACCACATATCGACTATTAACCCGATATACATGATCTTGCGTGAGTGTAGAGGCGATCTTGCCCCGTTGTGACAATCAAAGTCTCCCACGCTTGGGAGTGTCATACCTTTCGTCACTGGTGAGCTCTTGATCAAATATGGTACGTTGCCGAGAAAGCAACGGGGAAAAGGCTGTCAATCGTTGTTGTTCCGACAGTGTGTGGTGTACCAACTGGCTCAATTTGTATGCCTTCCCTATGCTGTGCAGGTGACGTATGACTGTTTCATTAACCTGGAAGCGTTCGGCAAGCTAACCATAGCTTTGGCTGTCTTCCTCCTCTATGGCCGTAACTGTGGGCGAAAACTGCGACGTTCAACAAAAGGGGATAGATCTTCTGACCTGAGCTTCTGGAAGCAATGTCTTGCGGTGCGTTCACTCTCAGAAAATTATCTTCAAAGGCTTATTCGGCGACGTACTCGGCGACTTAATGCGGCTGAGGTCAAGTCCTCCTTAAAGTCATAAATCAGACAACTTTTAATGAGCTGCTTCGATGACACCATGTTTCCTCACCGCTTTTCGGGTTAGGACCGATAGGTATGCGTAACGCATCTGCATTGCTCAAGAGAAAGGCTACCACCGCTTTCCCGGCACGTGATTCACTCATTTGTGTATCAGGGATAACTTTGTTCATCAATTGTTGATCTTTGCAGCCATAGGAATCTCTCCTGTACCCCTTCTGTTCCAGGGGAATAATGTCGTTTACTTCGACAAAAGAGTGTGTATAGTTCGTCAGGAAACACGTTATCAATTTATACATCGTAGAGAGACGTGTTATTGGCATAATTTTTCCAATCATGTTTCACCCGTTTTTGGCAGGATATATGTAATACCTTCTGGGACTTCATTGGGATTATTAATTAACACTGATAAAGTTTACGCAAGAGTTTTTTGATTGACGACAGTTGATAGAGCCAAAACTTGTGTATCTTCTCATTTTCTGAATATGTTTGTGTGTGTGAAACACTTACCCAGTGATCTAGTGTTTCTCAGTAGATCGCAAATATACTAGACAGTGAACATTTGCAAACAACAGGGAGCAATATTTTCATGCTAAGCAGATCACGTATATATTTTGGTCATAGCTGAAATGCAGATCCCTACATATAATTGATAATGCTTTCATTTATATAATTGATAGTACTTTAATTTAAATGTCACTTATAGAAACATTTATTCTCAAAGAATTAATTTTCAGGTATAATACATTAATTTTGTTTAGATATACAAAAATTATACTATTTTATGTAACGTAGATGTTGTCCCTTCAAATACTGAATTTAATTTGTACATATCCCCATGATTATTAGATATCGTAGGCATATATATTTTACTCTCACAGGTCAACTATGGTTAAAATTCTTTACTAATTAGGATTTGTTTTAACGTTGACGATATTCAAATTTGCAGACAAAGCAACAGAATGTTTCCCATTAATTTTGAAAAATAATTTAACCTGAACATGATTAATTTATGACCATTGCATTTTCAACTATCTTACATTTTTTCTTTTACCGATTTACTTATTGTTGATGCTCTCAAATAGTTACTACTAGCAGCATGGCCCGACGTTGCCTAAGCTTGATTCAAAAATCGTACGACTCATACAGCAATCGCTATCACTTGACTTAAAATATTTTTCCCTTCCTCGCCTTTAAAGTAGTGCCCTTTTCCGTGCTGATGTTGCTACATGCCTTACTTCTTGCCTATCTCACACTGCGAATTTTTTTCTAAGCTCTATACTAAACATTAAATCTGTTACGAAAAAAGAACTAAACAAAATGAACACAAAACGATCAGCTTTAAAAAAGGACTCGTAACTGGAAAAACCGAATGAAAAAAGAATGTTAACAACAAATACTTTTTCACACCCAACCCAGTTCTGCGGAATCAGAATCAACGTTGAGTTTAAGCAAGCGAATGAGCCAATTGGAGTAAAGTGCCATGCAGATTTAAATTTTTCTCACTTGTGACGAATGGAGCTATCGATTTTTTTAGCATGCTAGCATGCTAGTTAACATTCGTGTCAGTCAGCTGTTGGCTCTCACGCTGGCCAGTAGAATCTTCCTGCCTATTCGTGGCAGCCAGCTATAGGCTCTAACTCTGGCCAGTAGAAAATGATCGCAAACTACATGAAAACTGCCGAAGAAGCATGAAAAAAATCGATTATTTCCACTATCGATGGGAGTTGGGAAATGCAAAGTCGGTCGTGGCCTTCCCGCTAACTTGGAGCATGTGCATGTAAATTTTGGTGCAAATCCGTCGAAAATTGCGGCCGTGCATTCGTTACACACACACACATCCTTCCTTCTATAGACAGAGATAGTCAACAAAAATGCAGGCCACTGCATTTAGACGTTATTTATATTGCAGGCCTTTCACTAATTTTATTTCGTTTTCTAAGGAACAGCATTTGTTTTTATAATATTCCGATATTTATCAATTTGTGCGTTTTTTATTATGAAGTTGTATGATCATTTTCCAGCAGAAAAAAAGTAGATTCATATTTAGCTATTCTGTATTGTGAAAAGAGGTTAAGTTGTAGAAAGATCATTTTCAACTTTTTGCTTATTCGCATCTCAAATTTTGCCTATTTATCATTAACTTCGAAGAATATGTAACGCTGTATCATCGGGAACCAGACACTGCATCATATATGAAGGAGATGATCTCTTTTGAGTTTGTGGCTGTACATAAGGAACTAAAAAGTAAGAGAATATTGTATTTTCGACTGAATTCATTATCTGAACAGTTAATTTCCGATGAAGATTCTAAATTGTAAGAAGTATCATCGAGAGAATAATAATAATAATAATAATAATAATAATAATAATAATAATAATAAGAAGAAGAAGAAGAAAGTTTAAAACTACACATCATAAGTTATCTTCTATCCTAGCAGTATAATCGGTTTGCTGACGTCAAATTGGCATCATATCTCAAAAGTGACATAAAATCTGCTGTTATCTGGGGCAAGGAATGCTTCATAAGTTTAACGTCTCCAAAACAAAACTTCTTCATATTAATCATCTGCGAGTCTCCTTTCTGATTTCCATCAGCATGTCTAATGCTAACCTCCAGGAGAGTGACTCGTTGCATCTTCTCTGGCTAACATGAAGCGAAAGATTATATTGAATTAATTGCTAGGTCTGTGCTAGGAAAGTCTGTTCAATGTGTCGTATTAGACAATTTTCTCTCCAAAATCTATCTTATTACATAATTCTGCCAATTCTCCATTCTACGAATATTAGATTGGCAAAAAGGTCTCATCATTTTATTGCTGAATGGGTTAAAATGTTACCGTAAGTTATTTGTTACATCTCGAACTCTCTGCCAGCTTCTTGCTTTCCAGTCAACTTT